TGACTGATATATGATAAAATTTGATCTCATAATCTCGAAAGACTATTATATCTTAGTCAACATGTTAAAATCTAACTCAGTTGACCGCTAATTTTTTAATATAAAATGACGAGTGTGGAATATATGAATAATTATGTGATTATTTTGTAACTTTTAATAGACGAGATACTCAACAAGCAACACTTAATAGTCAAAAATCATTTGTGTACTTTATCAAAATTATTATTTTTTAATTGGTAAAAAGTTAAATTATTTTATGTGATTGAAGAATTAATCCCAAAAAACCTTATTTATAAAAAAGTTAAAAAGTTAATTTACAAAATAAAATAAAATAAAATAAAAGCTAGTGGGGGTAATAAACGACTGAAAATGGAGATAACCCTTTTTTACAGTTAAGTTTTAATAGCATGCAACGGCTTCTGTTGGCTTGGGTTGATTTATTCACGCGCTAAAGGCTGCTTTTTGGTCCCACTTCTCACCAGTTCACGCGGTTTTCCTTCCTTTCTCTGTATATTTCATAAACTAACAATTTATTTTTTTTATAAATTAAACTAACAATTTATATCATGTATATTTCTTAAAAATTTTAGGATAAATTATATAAATAATCACTAAAATATAAATAAAATTTTTTTTAATATTTTATTCTGATCATTAATTTTATTTATGAAGAAAAATAAACCAATCTAATTTTAGGAAAAAAAGAGGAGAGTGTAACCTAAAATATAAAATATAAGCCTAAACTAATTTATCTTATTGGTTAAAAGAATCGTTGTTATTTCTAGATGTCACGAAGTTTGAGCACCAACGACTGCAGCAAGATGATTAAACATTCATTATCAAATAACTGAAATTATTTATTCATTTTAACTTAATAAAAAATTTAAAATATAAATTTAACAACTACAATGGTTTACTTTTGGTTTGAAAATGATAATAAAATCTGCTTGTAAATATGATTTATCAATCCCAGCTCTTGTTAAACTGCGTAGATTTTGATGTTTTAAGTAGAATTTCGATATTTTTAATTAATATTTAAATTTAAATCATATAAATAAAAAATATTTATTTAATTTTAAATAGAATCGAAACTTTTGTTGATGCCAAGTATTCTCAAAGAGCATATATATATATATATAAACCCTACAACTACAAATTTGGTTATGACAGAAACCAAGTATTTTTAGTGATAAACAAATTATTGTTATTTTTTAATGTTTTGAGTTTGAGTACCAAGAATAATAATTACAAACTAAATGGGTTATAAATGGAACGAGGTAAATTATAAGTTATTCGAGATTTATTTAGTCAAAGTCTGATAAACTCTTGAAATGAATAGACTTGATTCAAACTTGAACTCAACTTGAATTCTTAACGAGCCGAAGTAAATTAATTGATACCAAAATAAAAAATAAATAAAATTTTCATTTACTTAAGATTCGTGTTATAGAATTTGAACTTTAATCGAGTTAAGTATAATAATATTTTGAGTTGAATTTTTTTGAGCTTAAATCCAACTTTAATTTTTGAGTTTAATTCGAACTTTGATAGTTTAAAACTCGTGAGTTTTTTAGTCGAGTTAAATTCAATTTTATATTACATGTATTATTATTAAAGTAATTGTATACTATTTAAATATATTCACATTCTGATTACCTTTTCAACAACAGTTTAACCCCCTTCCCCCCATTTCAGCAATTCGGCTCCTCCATAAGTACCCCCACCATCTTCCCGCTACGCCCCACAATCACCATTTCTCTCTCTTTTTCCTCTTTTTTTTTTATAAAGAAAACCAAACAACAATGGCTACTGTTACTCCTTCTTCTTCCTTGACTATGCTCTGCTTTGCTTTACTGCTGTCCTTTCTTGCTGTGGTGAATGCAAGAATCCCCGGAGCTTATACCGGTGGAGCTTGGGAAAGTGCCCATGCTACTTTTATGGTGGCAGTGATGCTTCTGGGACAATGGGTATTTGTTTTCTCGCACTGCATTTTCCATTAAAATGTGACTGAAAATCTTGGTTGTTTGTTTTTTTTCTTCTCCAGGCGGTGCATGTGGGTATGGGAATCTCTACAGCCAAGGCTACGGCCTGAACACGGCGGCTTTAAGCACGGCGCTTTTCAACAGTGGCCTCAGTTGCGGTGCTTGTTTTGAGATCAAGTGCGCAAACGACCAGAGATGGTGTCACGCCGGCAGCCCTTCCATTTTCATCACCGCCACTAACTTTTGCCCTCCTAATTATGCTCTCCCGAGTGACAATGGCGGCTGGTGCAACCCTCCACGCCCTCATTTTGATCTCTCCATGCCTATGTTCCTCAAAATCGCCGAGTACCGTGCCGGTATTGTCCCGGTCTCTTTCCGTCGGTGAGTCAGTAAAATCCCTCCTCTTTTACTTGATATTTTTCTTAGCAGCCAAACAGTATTTTTTAACTGTTTGTTTATTTTAGAGTGCCGTGCCGAAAGCAAGGGGGAATAAGATTCACCATTAACGGATTCCGCTACTTCCACCTGGTTCTGGTCACCAACGTTGCGGGTGCAGGGGATATCGTGAAGGTGAGCATCAAAGGAACCAAAACCGGTTGGATGAGCATGAGCCGTAACTGGGGTCAGAACTGGCAATCAAACGCCGTTTTGGTGGGTCAGGCACTCTCGTTTAGAGTCACGGGCAGTGATAGACGAACATCCACTACCTGGAACGCGGCACCAGCTAATTGGCAGTTCGGCCAAACCTTCACCGGAAAGAATTTCCGCGTTTAAATCTCACAGTAGCTCCCCTTTCTAAAATATCTTTTTTACTTTAATTTACCTTGGTTTCCCGCTCTACATATCTCCTTTATTTTCCCGGGAAAGTTTGTAGTTGCGGGTAACTGGGTAAAAGCAAAAATTGGGCTTCTGGTAGGATTTATCAAAAAAAGAAGTGAGATAATTTAGGAAAGTGAGTATGGTGTAGTAACTTTTTTTGTTTTCACATTGATCTTACGTCCGTGTTTGGTTTGTCAAAATTCCAGCAAATTGAGGCTGAAGCGGCTGCAAATGAAAGTAAACATGCAGCCCGCAGCCCTTGGTTATATATGTAATGCTCTAGTTTTTCATTCCATGAAACAGTGGCAGATGCTTCTAATCCAATTCTCAAACCAATTTTGAATAATTATACATTAAAAAAATATTAAAAATATATTTTTAAGAAAATTCCAGTCTTGCCCTTAACCTAAACTGCCACAAGCCACACATGCCGGTGTTGATGGTGCAGAGCAGAAGAGCATGTGATGATAGTCTGGCACCCAGCTCAGCTGCTGCCGTTGCCGTCTCTTTAACTTGGCTTTTTCACCTCGTTTGTCTTTCCCTCTCATCTTACATGATATCAACAATTCAATAAAAAGTACGGTGCACCACAAATATATAAAAACAGGATAAAAATTCAAACTTAGAAGAAGGTTTAAGGTTCACTTTTATTTTTATAGTATGTTTAATTTATCATTTTGATTTGCATCATATTTTTATATTAATTTAATCTTTAACGTTTAAGATTTTAAGATTAAATTTTATCATATCACAATTAATAGATTAACGTCAAACTCAAAATGACATTCATTTTTAACAAAAAAAAAAGGATAAATTTAAAATATATAAATAATTAAGTGATCATTTTGTAACTTTTGTCATGTTGGTATGATTTTGCCTTATAATTATATTTGAATTTATGTTAAGTACAAAAAATGAAAGAATTTTCGCAATTTGAAAGAGAATCTGATAAATTGTATGGCGTTGGACGAAATTGAGGTGCATTTGAAGTGACAGTGAGCAGTGTTTAAAAAATTAGTACGGCATAAGTAAAATCTAAACAATCTGATATTTTAGGGATTTTCTCTTTTTAACATTATTTGCAAAGGCTTTTACTTAGACTGTGTAAGTTTTCATTTGTTAGTACCCCTAAAACGAGTATCATTTAGATCAGAGGCCAGTATCTCTCTTCTGACTCTGCCATGTTGGTGTTCTTGTGAATCCATCTATGGGGGTTTGCCTCTCATTGGTTTATGACAGGTGTACTGGTCTGTTGAAAAATACTTGTATGGAATGATAAACTTAGTTTCTTGCATTTAAGTGCGAAGTGTAGTGCTTGCCTATTAATGACCAAGCTGAAAGGCACCTAACCTATCAAAATTGAGGAAGTTAAATTAAAATGGAACCTGATCTCAGTGTTATAGTTTGTTAGTTGGTTTGAATCATTTCTGTATTCTTTACTTTTTGTAATCTAAAATGAAAGCAGAGCAATCCAAATTTCTGTCAAGCATCACTTCTGCTGATGATGATGATTCAAAATCTGACTCGGAAATGTCTAATTCCGATGCTGAACATGAAACAGAAGGTTCTGTGCAACAAAGTTGCTCTCTTTGTCATGATGCTACTTCCAAAAGTCCTGTTTCTTTCTTGATTCTTCTCCAAGTAAGTGATTGCTCTTCATTTTACCCATTACTTGAGACAAATGAAATCTCCACCCACAAATGAATTAACATTTTATCATTTCTTGAAAAAGAAATCTAGGATTTTGTGTTTGGTTGACAGAACCTACTTCACAACCTCTTTTTTATGATGGATTTGGCCCATTAGATTGTGATGGAATTTATCTGTCTTCCTGTGGGCATGCTGTACATCAGGGTTGCCTTGATCGCTATTTATCATCACTGAAAGAGAGGTAAGTCTTCATAGAAAAGATATGTTTTAGTTCTTATTAGATAGATTTGCCTTTTTTTTAACATAATCCTGAACTTCTGGAACTTAAAAAGCTCATGCAACCATATACAATTTATCACTATTCACTAATGCAGTAAATAGTGGTTTCTGGGTTGAGTTTATATTTGGTTCCGTTTCTTTTGGACTCCATATTGTCCTTTCGCAAGGGATTGTGCGGTTGATATCTCAAAAATGTCATCACAAACTTATCAGTCACAATTAACTTCTATTCATAGTTAGCATAATTACAAGTATTATGGGCTTTGGAACATGAATCGTGAAATTGGAGTTTTCCAGAAGGGAGAATTTTTGTGTCCTGTGTGTCGTCGACTAGCAAATTCTATCTTGCCTGCAGTGAATGGGAATTTCCAGAAGGTTGGAAGGCTGCCTACGACTTCAACTGTTGATCAAGTGCATGCTATAGGTTCTCCACCAAACAAAGCTATATGTTCCCTCCTGCTTCAGAGAGGGTTATCTCTTCTAACAACTGCTGCCAAGGTGGTCAGGAGGTCTGATTTCTTCGAAGCTTTTTCTCGTCAAAGAAAAGAAAGAACAATTCGCAATCTGGAACCTATATCTCGTGCACTGTCTAAAATGTATTTTTCAAAAAAGCAGGATAGGTTCTTAGGACCTCCAAGGTTAAGCTACCCAGTAATTTTATGGGATACACTTAAGTATTCTCTTATGTCAACCGAAATTGCAGCTCGTAGTGAAAAGAATTCTATGGCTGCAAATTATAACCTTGCTTCGTTGTATAAGGAATTTAATTCTTCGAGTGAATTTATATTTTCCTTATTGCTAAGAGTTGTCCAGAACCAGAGCAGTACAAACTCTCTTCAAAGATTCAGAGGTCTTCAACTGTTTGCAGAGTCTATTTGTTCTGGTGTTTCCTTTGACTACCACAACACCAAGCATAAACAGGAAGGTATTATTTTCAGTATTTATTGCTGTGAGATTCACTTGAAATTTGGCACTTAGATCTGATAGTAAATCGTAGAGGTTGTAGACATTTAGAAATAGAAATCATGGTTATTTATTTTGGTCTTTCAATGGTTTTTGAATCAGAAATACATCTAAATGTGGATAGGTGAGTGGGTCGGTGTTATCTCTTTAGCACTACTAAGTGTATATACAATTATCAAACAGCAGATAAGCTGTCTTAGGTGTGGATTCTTATTTTAAATGTTGGACTCATGATTGTGTGTTGACAGACAATCTCCTTCTCATCTTGGAGCATGATGATAAGGAAGCATTATATCCTGATATTCAACTTTGGAATCGGTCGTCTGATCCTATTCTTGCCCGTGACCCTTTCTCATCATTGATGTGGGTTCTCTTCTGTCTTCCATGCCCATTTATCTCGTGTGAGGAGTCCTTGTTATCTCTTTTGCATCTCTTCTATGTTGTCTGTGTGGTTCAGGTTTGCCATTACCTCTCTTCATATAGGTTCCTTGGGTGGTCTATTTACACATTTTTAAAAGGAAAAAAAGGACAATCATTTGGACTTTCTGGTGCATGATATAAACAAGAAAATGTGGTAATGAACAATGTTTCTGGTCAAACGAAACTGTATGAAGTAACAATGGAACTTCAAAACGTTTGTGAAGATTTTTCTTTCGCTTTATCAAAACTATAAAGATGTTTTATTTTAGGGATTTCTTTTGAAGGATCCTATTTCCTGTACGGAATTTTCCTCAAAGAAGTGATTTTATATGAAAGAAACTATGAGTCACTCTAATTTTGCTCTGCAACTAAAATTCTGAATGTAATTTACTGATATCAGGCTGCAATCTTATTTTTTGGGCAAGATGAATGTAACATCAATGATTTAGGTTCCCATCATTCCCTAATTACTGTTGTCTGCGGCATTCTTCGTGGATCTGATTGGGCACGCTGGTATTTTGTATCAAATGATATTTACCGTTTTGTCATATTAAAGAAATGATTCAAAGATTGAGTTTCCCTTATTTGCGGAGGTGTGCATTGTTGTGGAAATTGCTTAAGTCTTCTGCCGCAGCACCATGCTGCGATAGGGGTACTGTCTGGGAGTCATCTCATGTGATGACTGATATGATGGATACAACTGAAATTACTTCAGTGGAGCTGAATGGGGTACAAGAACTGGAGAAGATGTTTAGGATTCCTCCTATAGATGTTATTCTCGAGGATGGAGTTTCACAATCATTTGCAGTAAAATGGTCTCATCATTTCCAAAAGGCATATAAAGCCTGTGGTTTTCGAAATGTTTTCTACTGCAATCCTGCAGTTCCCTTGTTGATGACCCTGCCTCATGTGTATCAAGACCTATTGCAACGGTTTGTTAAAAATTCATCCTTAGACATGCTGTTAGACATCTTTCAAGAATATCCATCTATATTCATGAAAAAGCTTTTTTTTTTTTTTTATTTCAAAAGGTATGTAAAAAAATGTTGCCCAGACTGCAAAGCTGTGCTTGATGAGCCTGCATTATGCTTGTTGTGTGGTAGATTATACTCTCTAAGTTGGAAAACATGCTGCAGGTGAATTTTCAGCTCTCTTGTTTTTCTGATTTTGTGCTTACATATGCATTTATCCATGATTCTAGCTATATTAAATCTGAAGCACTGACCTTTTTCTACAATATTTTCCTTGCTAGTGAGAGTGGATGTATTGCTCATTCAATGACCTACGGTGCTGGTACTGGTGTATTTCTTTTGATAAGGGTATTGATCGCCTGGTTACTGTCCTGAACTTTATTTCATGAAAGTTGCTCAGCAAACTCCTTGGCCATCCCCATATTTGGGTGCATTTGGTGAAGAGGTAAGTCATTTTCCTTTTATGAGTAAAGATTGTCATAGTTATACTGTTTGGAAACACAACCGCAAAGCAAATAAAATAGTTATTGCTAAGAGCGTTGTAGGATAGAATATTGTACCCTCCTGCCTCTTATACTCCTTTATACCCGCGAAGGATGATTGTGATTGTTACCAGTGCCAACTACATAAGATCTAAAATTTAGTGGGTCTGGAAAGTTCATGAGCCTTTTTGGACCTGTTATCACACCATTGCAACGGCTCCTGAGTTATCACACCAGATTGTTGGTGTTGAATTCGAGTCTTCACCTAAGTCAGTAAGAACAACATTCATCCAAGTGACTTCTGCAGCAGCATCAGCAAGGCTTTTATACTCGGCTTCCATGGTTGACCGAGAGACTGTCTTTTGCTTCCTTGACAGCCAGGACACCAAACATTTGCCAAGGAATACACAATGACCAGACATCGACCGTCTGTCATCAACATCACCTCCCCAGTCTGCATCCGCAAATGCAGTAATAGACAGATTAGAGCCAGCAGTCGAGAACAATAATCCATAGTCCACTGTGCCTGTCGAGTATCGAAGGATCCTTTTAACTGCCATAAAATGGGATTCGCGAGGGGCTTGCATGTACTGAGCAACCTTGCTCACACTAAGAGCCACATCAGGTCGAGTATGCCATGTATATAGCAAAGTTCCAACAATGCTGTGAAACTCATAGGCATCAACTAACGGATTACCTTCATCCTTAGAGAGTTTATTAGCTACAACCATAGGCGAGGCAGTCGGATTAGCACGTGTCATCTTCGCTTTGGCCAATAGATCGAGCAAAAACTTTTTCTGACTTAAAACAATGGAGTTAGCATCACGCTTGACTTCAATACCCAGAAAATAGGACAAATCACCAAGGTCCTTGAGCAAAAATGCTTATTGAGTTCACGAATCACATACTCAATATGGTTGAGTGATTCTCCAGTTAGTATGATATCATCGACGTATACAAGGATAAACGTGTGAGTGCCAGCCTGATCGATAACAAACAAGGAGCTGTCAGCTTTGGACCCTCGAAATCCCAGAGCGAGCAGGCTATCTCGAAGCTTGTTGTGCCAGTTTCGTGGTGCTTGTCGTAGACCATAGAGCGCCTTCTGTAGCTTACAGACAAGAGGCGTGCCATTAGGGTTGTACACCTCAAATCCAGGTGGCTGCTTCATAAACACATCTTCAGTCAGCCCACCGTTGAGAAACGCGTTGTTAACATCGATTTGTTGAAGCGGCCAATTCTTCGAGACAACCAGTGAAAGGATGATATTGATCGTAGAGAACCGAATCACAAGGCTAAACGTCTCTTGGAAATCTTGTCCTGGTACCTGTGAGTACCCCTTCGCAACCAGACGTGCTTTGTGCCTTTGTACAATACCATCATCATTCTTCTTGACTTTGAAGAGCCACTTACATCCTACAGCCGACCTTCCTACTGGGAGTTGGACCAGAGTCCAGGTATCATTTTACTGTAGAGCTTTAAACTCATCATGGGCAACTGCAGACCATTTCTCAGACTGAAAGGCTTCATAAACAGTTTCTGGGATGGCCTCATCAAGGTTGCTGAGGAAAACTTTGGGCTTGAAAACACCAGTATTGCTGCGTGTGCACATCGGATGCGTATTGGCTGTTGCATTTGGTTGTGACACCACAGTCGGCTCAACTACGGGCTGTTCAGGTACCACAACCGGCTCAGCTACAGGTTGTTCAGGTGCATGAGACTCATGACACGCTTCTCCATCAGGAGTCAAAGTTGTAGAAGGAGACACCAATGCTTGCGAAGGAGAGACATGCTGGTTTTCAGCCGATTGTAGACTTGATCCAATAGGCACGGTGAGACTACGAGAGGCAGTGGGGGTCAATGTAAGCCCAGGAGAGGTATTTGTATGTGAAGAAGCCATAGGTACACGTAATCGTCGTGGCTGCATAATTATGTCTAAAGCAGGCAAATTCTTCTTGGCTAAATCACGAGAGGACTGCAGCTTTGCAAAAGGAAATGTTAGTTCATCAAATTTAACATGACGGGATATGTAAACTCTCCCATCCGCTGCCAGACACTGGTAGCCTTTTTGCTGAGGGTTATACCCTAGGAAGGTACATTGCTGGGAATGAAACATGAACTTGTGCTTTTGAAACATTCGGAGATGTGGAAAGCACTTGCATCCAAACAGCTTCATAAAATTATAATTAGGTTGCCTGTTAAACAATCTTTCAAATGGTGAAGCACCTTGCAACACACGAGTGGGTAGTCTATTAATGAGATAGACTGTCGTAGTCATAGCATAGGACCCTAACTTCAAAGGTAAGGCAGCCTGAGCAAGGAGAACAAGGGCGAGCTCGATCAAATGTCGATGTTTTCGCTCCATAACCCCATTTTGCTCAGAGGTATGTGGGCATGTTACTCGATGCATAATCCATTCTTTGGCCAGAAGAGTATTCAGTGGTCTGTACTCACCACCCCAATCGCTTTGAATGGCTTTAATAGTGAGGTTAAACTGTGTAGCCACCATACTCCTAAACAATTGGAACGCGGTTAGAAGTTAAGACTTATCTTTTAGCAAGTACAACCAAGAATGACGAGTGCATGCGTCTACAAAGGCAACGTAATATCGAAATCCGTTTGAAGGAGTAGGTGCAGGACCCCATAAATTAGAAAATACAAGTTGAAAGGGTTCAGAAAATACAGTCTGCGAGTGTTCAAATGGTAGCTTATGGCTTTTCCCAATACAACAAGCCGAGCAAACTTTATTGGTATTAGTTGAAATTTTTATACATAGCTTATTACAAACATCTTTTAGTGTTTGAAGAGAAGCGTGCCCCAAGCGTTTGTGCCACAAATCAAACGCCTCTGAGGTAGTAGCTAAGCTAACACTAACTTGATTATTAACCGGATGCCTACAATCAGCCAACTCGAACGAGTAAAGGCCCCCATTCTATTTTCCTCGAAGTAGAACACTGCCAGTGACTTCATCCCGAACACAACAATCGTTGGCATGAAATTCAAGAAAGACTCGGTTGTCCCTAGCAAGCTTGGACACCGAAAGTAGATTTTTAGTTATCTCAGGCACATGTAAAATATTGGTTAACTTTAGTGCATGTGACCGAGAAAAGACTAAAGCGTTACCTATGGTTTCTACATGAAGAGAAGCACCATTGCCAACAAGGAGATTACCTGGTCCCCTATAGTCAGATGGTTGAGCTAGTTTGGCAACATCTGGCGTCACATGGTGCGTGGCACCTGAATCGACTACCCAATGCTCGTGAGAGGAAGAGGCTGCATTGGCTTGAGGGGGCTCAGTGGCTCTTCCTTCACTGTAGGAGTCATAAAATTAACACTGCTAGGATTAGCTTTATACCGTTGTGTGTCACTGCCATCACCAAGGAAATCGCGATCAAACCGGTACCAACACTGTCAGGGGCGGACCCAGGACAAAAATTTAGGGGTTGCACAAAAAAATTCTTATAAATATTTTTAGGGGTTGCACGATATTAAAGGTGACACTTGTATTAATTAAAAAAAATTAGAAAATATTAACACTAAGTAGACAATTTTGTTGTATAAATTTTTTTTTCTATAAGAATTTATCTGAAATATAGAGATTCTACCTAAAAATCACAAAAAATATATATAAAAATACTAAAATAATATCATTTGATCAATGTTCCTCACAATTTGAGGGGTTGCCCGGGCTACCCCTGGCAACCCCCTGGGTCCGCCCCTGAGCACTGTTGAACTAAGTGCCCAGTCTTACCGCACAGTTGACACTGCACTCGGGGACGACCTCGACCACGACCACCTGATCGACCACCTGAGTAAGGTTTACGATTAACCTCTTGATTTGTTCTTGAATCAGGAACAAACCGATTGACAGCCTGTGCCACATGTGCACTCATTGGAAGGTTGTCGGCTGAAAACTCAAATCCAGCCTATTGAGTTTCAGCATCAATTAACATGTTACTGACAACCTCGAGAGTAGGTTTCTCATCCAAGAAGTTCATCTCATCCAAGACAACGTTCACTTTCGTGTTAGTGAACACAACCGAGCGCACCAACGAACTTCCTCCAGATGTTGAGAAGACATTCGGACTGTCAAGCGCCATTACCGCAGTCGGAGCTTAGAAGCCAAGATCTCTGGCGAATGATACCATATTGAGATATTACACAAGATTGTAAACTGCCTGTAAAAATGCTTGATTGATATTAAGAATCTATGTTCTACAAAGAGTACTTCTTGCTTTATATACATCACGCTCATGCTGCAGCCAACTAACTGTCTAACGTCCTAGCCGTTGTTGCAACAAACTACAACAACCTGTTAACCAACCTGAGTGCTAACTATCCTCTGCTGCAACCTTCTTGGCATATACATCACTCCTAACATCTTCTATGTTCAATATTATGTGTTACAAATTAAGAAGACAGAAGTTGTTTTACATTTATGTACCTTAGTTTCTATACTTATTTCAGACCTAGTGTTGCTAAAGGTAAATCAGGTTGATGGGAGATTAACTAATGACGGCATGAAGGTCCAATGCAGCAGTTATTGCACTCATATGTCCCTCAATGCACGGAGGAAATCAGGCAACTTCATTCTTTATTTCTGGAGTGCTCCCTCTGATGGGAATATATCCTGAAATGAAATTTGAATAACTGATTTGACAAAACAAAAATAGAATTTACTGAGAATGAAGGATTGTGTTTTCTTGAAACCCAAGGGGTGTATATTCTCAGTTTCTCATCCTACCCATGTCGTTATTTATCAATAAGAAATCATTTAATTCCCCGTGGATTAAAATTCAATGTTATGCAACTTGCACATTTTGGATGATTGATTATTTAAGGCTGATGTGCTTCATACACTGTTTGATTTCAATTTTATTGATACCCAAGGGGGTGTATATTCTCACCCTACGCATGTCGTTATTTATCAATAAGTTCTGTTTAGAAATTATATATTTCCTTGAAACTCCATGCGATATCAGAACTCGTAATCTGAATTCCGTATGGGATGCAATGGTAAATCTTTAAAATATAAATGTGTACTTGTTTGCTTTCCATTATGTTTGTATTTTTTTCATATCATTGAAAGGGTTTTCTTATGATCGATTGGTGTTATTCTACATTTTCTCATTTCAGGATATTGAAATACACAGAGGAAAACCACTGTACTTGAATGAAGAACGTTACGCTGCTCTAAGTTACATGATGACTGGGCCTTCTTTTTGCTTTGTTGTCAATGAAGATGATGGTTTTTTCTCCTCCTGGTTTTCATTGTAGTTCCCTGTTTGATAGGTCGCTTCTCATGGACTTGATCGGAGTTCGAAGGTTCTTGGACAAACTACCATTGGTACCTTCTTCATGGTTTAGTTTGGTTTGATAATCAAGCTGGTGATTGACCTTTCTGTTTCTTTTATTCCTGTTTCTATTTGCTTGCGATCATTAATATTCTTGTTAACATCAGATAAATTGTTGGATTCAGGTGACGATGCATTTGAATCAGACATCAAGTGCAAAGGAAATTGCCAAACTTAAGGTTTTTAGCTTCCATAAATTATTGTGCAAACTAAGTTAGGATCTTGGATTATGATGTTGGCATATGTCCATTATGGCTGGACGTACCGCAGTAATCAGGTCTGTTTGTGGAGCTTATTACCCTTTCTTTTTAGTGTTTGAGTGACAACCATTTGAAAGCAGAGTCATTTTTATCTCTTCGTGCAGCTGCTAATGGTTCTCGACCCGTATTCAGTATGGCAGATTTTGCCATTATCTATTATCTTCCCCTGTTTTGCTATTCCTGGATGTATAGTTGAACTGAAGAACGAATCCTCTGCACATAAGTGCTTGAATACCTTGACCCAGGACGACGAGTCTTCAGTTGAACATCTTGTGGTATACTTAATGGGAGATAAATGGTTTCTAAAGAGACAAAGTATAGGAGATCTTAAATGAGTTTCCATGGTCAATTTAAAGTAGTAAAATATCTTTGTCAACTTTTTATGGGCATGTAGCCTGTTGTAAATGGTTTAAAACTTCACATGGCAGCAGCTCGTCCCTTAATATTTTTCTGGTTTAAGTCGATGGCTACAACTATTTATACTCCTTATGTGTTTGCTTTTATGATTTTAAATGGCTGGGATTGTTGCGGATTTTGGTTGGTTTTTCAGATGGTCATGGATGGGTTGGCCTCGCTTTGATTTTGACGAGGGTCTAGGGTGTATGAGCCACTCAAATGTTTCTTTCTAGCTGGAATCTGAATTGGCACCCCTATCATGAAAAAGGGTCATTTTTCATTTAGTTTGTCGCACAAAACTTGTTTCACAGCGGCCGGGATAACAAAAACAGGAACCAACTGGTTTTCTTGGTTTGGATTCTGCAGCTGGGGAGAGACATAGCCAACTTAAAGAGAATGAAACATAAGGGAATGTGTTAAAATCTGTAGGTTAATCTCTGGTGAGCCAATAGAGAAAAAAAAGGTTGACTACCAATAGTTCAACAATGAGCCGGGGCATCAACAAATGGTTTAAGCTAAGAACGGAAGCCCACCCAATCCTTCAAAATGGTACACCATCGATAAGGTTAATTTGGCAAGAGATTAGAACTAAGGGGATAAAGTTCCTTGGCAATCTCTAATTTGGTTCCCTCTGAACATTCCAAAGCACAGTATGATAGCTTGGATGGCACTGATCGATAGGTTACCTACTCGAGATAGCCTTCAACGCATAGGCATTGTTTCTAATGGAAGCTGCATTTTATGTAATGAGATGTTGGAAACCCGAAACCACCTGTTCTTTGACTGCAAGACTGCCTCTCAATTACGAGAGTAGATTTTTCACCTTAATGGAATTCACAAGTCTGTCCTATCTTGGGAGAACATGATTACTTGGGCAAGCAAAACTTGGAAAGGTAAATCTCTTCTGGTCACTATTCTCAAATTTGCTTGGAACGCCACCATCTACGTTTTGTGGGAGGAACGCAACCGAAGAATCTTCAAAAGATGCTCTCGAAGCATCGAAGAAATACTTAGCACCATCAAAGATATTGTTTGTATTAAACTTAGGGGTAAAAATATTAATAGGCTTTATGATGTAAACTCCCATCTTTGTATTGTCTGGGGTATTGACTAATTCCGATCGCTCTTTTTTGTTTTTAGTCTGTTTTTTCTTTCTGTTCCTGTGATCGGTGATTTTTTGTAGCAAACATTGCTCTTGGATAATAAAAATTCAACTTATCCAAAAAAAAAATCATATTGTAAAAGCAAAGTTTGGGAGGGGAATGCTTGATGAAACATCTGATGTGCGTAAACACAACTTACTTTCAATGTGGAAATCACAGGAAAAAAATTGAATTTCTCTGTACTTTTTGTGTGTTTTTAAGTGGAAAATGGAACACCATAACTTACAGTATAATCCTATGTGACCTCCATCTTCTTTGCATGTAAGCAATCTTTGATAGGAGAGCTACCATTCACTGATAGATCCTCACGCCTTTCCTTATCAAATGTGAAATTAAGTTGTCTCTCCACAGACTTAAAAACAGCAGTTCTTTTAGATCTTAACCGATATGGAGGTGATGCATTAAATGCGGTACAATTCAGACCAATGCTGCTATTACTTTGAAAAGTTGGACTTTCGTACGAAATCCAATCACGAAACCGAGCCTGTTCCGGACTATTTTCAGTTCTTTCCTGTGCACCAGGTAATTGAATCATATTCTTGGCTGTTTCCTCATTCAGTTTTCCCATTTTATTTGGACCGGTTTTTCTCTTTCGAAATATAGAAGGCGTATTCGGGAATGTCTTAGCAGCAATTCTAAGAATAGACTCGGGACTTCGAGCACCAAAACCACTGCTCTTCATACAAGGCGGAGTGAAGAAACTTACAGGTGACATGATAAGTGTAGAGGTCACCTCATGCTGCATGCCTTTCTTCTTTAAATGATCTGAATCTAATGAAGAACCAACATTTAACATAGGTGGCTCGTAACATAAAGGACCATATGTCGAAGTATCATACTGTAGTTGCGCCCCAACATCTTTGTCTTCGACAACAGCAGCAGAGCTGATTCTTCGACTCTCGAACTTCGCCATTGACTCTGAGTTACAGCAGCAAGGATTTGCATCAAATGAATGAAGCTTGCATTCTGCACTTTCAGTCTCAACTGATTCACTTGGAATAACACTTGATGAAGCCTCCATATCATGAACTGGAGTACAGGATTCCAACTGATCTTTTTCATCTTCCTCTGGCTTACATATATCCGTAGTTCCTGAAGACGTTTGAGCAGTTGAATCTGATTCTCTTTTCGAATAAACAAGCAAATTTTTTGTTGCAGCAGGTGTATCGATATCCTTCTTCTCATTTTTAAGAACAATCTTCACAACTGGAGGAAGCTTCCCTGTAGCCAAATAGAAATCTAACTTCTTCTTTATGGAACTATTCCAGTGATTCTTTATGGCATTATCAGTTCTGCATAAACAAAATTCATTAACATGTCAATAGAGATTTTGGAGTAATTTACGACAATTCTTTTGTCAAGTAAGCTGGACTAAGCTTTCGAATCTGAACCATGTAACAAATGTTATAAACCAGAAAGAAATGATACCTTCCGGGTAGAACTTTAGCTATTTCAGCCCACTTGTTCCCATATATCCGATGGGCATTCATGAGGGCCAATTCCTCCTCTAACGTCCAAGCATCCTTCTTTATATTGGGATTCAAATGATTGTGCCATCTGGGAAACATCAATTAGCATGTTAAAAAATTTCAGCAACATCAATAGCCTCATTGTACAAAACTTTAGTTTGTAATTTACTTAATATACTAACTAACAGAAAAGGCAGACATCATTGAAATGGGGAAAACTAATATCAAAAACTTCGGCACTTTTGAGAACTCTTAAATGCAAATGAAAAGAAGTAAAAAGTGAAATTACCTCTCGCGACATTGTTTCCCTATCCGTCCAGGCAAAGATTTGGCAATAACAGACCATTTTGTGGGCCCATATTTTGATACAAGCTCAACAATTTTATCATCCTCCTGGAAGGGGAAGCCACAGAAAATTGTGTTAGTTTTGTGAACTGCAACCATAATAGAGCATAGAAGAATGACCTAAAATGCATACCTCTTGAGTCCAAGGTCCTTTAACAAGATCTGGATTTAGGACCTTCTGCCATCTATGTAGACACTGAACTTCTGATCTATCAGGAAAAAAATTGGCTGCACAAGCATATTCGAATGTCAAGACTGCTATTACAATTACTAACAGATGAAAAGGATTCATGACCCTAAGTTTGTTTTTGGTGTGAGAAAACATAAGATCTAGCAAAAACTCAAATATCAAGTCTGTCACATTGGAAAAAGATGGATAGTCGATAAACATAGTTAATAGGGAGAGCAGATTCTGAGGAAAACCTATTTTTTTCCAGCTCTTCCCCTTAAAAGCTGCAACAGCATTTCTTAATGTCTCATCCTGCAATGGATGAAAACAGAAAACGATGTTAAAGAAAGGCAGCAGTTGCAAAGAATGAACATGAGTAACCAGTAAACATTGATACAACTTAGTTTTCCCCCTTAGAATCCATGATAGATTATTATAAAAAACCAATGTAGTCTACCAAAATAATAGCATCAATATAGAAAGGTGCATTGTACCTCCTCCGGTGTCCAGCCACCTTTTGCTCGTCGAATAGGGCCAGTGGTCCTCCTGAAAATTCAGTATAAACAATTACTCGCAGCTTTCAAGATAATAAAACTCAATGCAAATCAGTTAAACCGCAAGTCCAGTCACTGAAAGGAACTGCTAAACGTAATCTACAACAATGAACTCGAGCAGAAACAAAAGCGTGTATAAGTAAAAGCAAAATAAGCAGAACCAAAAGGTTGCATTTAACATAACAATCCAACCCAAATTGTGATTCAAATAAGCACACATTGTGAAACGAGTTGAACTACAAGGAAAACTGAAAAAAGAAAAGCTAAAGAAGTTATGTTATTAAGGGACAATACCGATGATTTGGTGATGATGGTGCTGGACTGGATATAGCTGGCGACTTTACATTTGCACTGACAGCGCCTTCTGATACAGAAGAACTCAATGCGGTTGTTAATTGCTTATTCTCAACACAACGTTCGTCTATCTTCAACTCAGCCATCTCTTTCTACAATAATCTCAAAACCCAGAAATCATAGTCAACACCAAATTGAAAAAAGAAAAAAAGAAAGAAAGAGGGAGAGCTTAAGCCTATATAAAATGACCAATCCACTCGCTCAAAATCCCATCTTTTAACCAAAATCCCCAATCTCACCACCGTCAATCACATAAAAAGACAAATCCCAGATCTTGAAATTCATTAATCAGATCAAAAAACATAAAAATCCCACATCATTTTAAACATATTTCTAGGGTTTAAAACCCAAAGAGAAGGTATAAAAATCCCAAAGGAACTTTTAACGAATCCAAGGCACATGAAGTTCAAGGAACATGATCAAAACAGTGAAAAAATAAATAAGAAAAACAGCAACCCCCAAAGAAAAAAAAGAACTTTTCAGAAGATTTTTGAATTCAACAAACTTCAACACACCTGAGTGGCGGGAAACAATCTCCAGCTCCTTAAAAAAAACCCTTTTCTTTCGAGCGAAACAAGAAAAAAAAATAAAACGTTTCTTTGTTCAAAAGAACTCCAACGTTTCTTCTTTGTTTCGAAAAATCCTCTCCCGTTGAAACAAAGGGAGAGAGAAAAAAAACACAAAAAAGGGAGAATAATAAATATAAAAATTATATTGAAAAGTTTTTTTTTATATAATTGTAACGTTAACATATATCTACCGACGTCTCCGTCAACTGCCGTTATTGAGGGTGAACGTGTTTTTTATGGTTTAAATATGCCTGAGGTCCATGTAGTATTTACAAATTAATATTTCGTCTATTTTTTTTTAAATTGGGATCTTGTACTATTCTTACTTTAAAAATCTTAATTTCCCCTTAATTTTTGTTTAATTTCACTGTTATTTCTAATTTGGAGACGATAAAAAGTAAAATAACTTTTTAGTCCTTAATATTTATATTAATTTTATATTTAGAAGATAATTAAAAAATATATTATTCAATTAATCATATTTATATTTACTTTTTAAGTTTACCGGTCAAATCATTAAAAACTACAAATATAGGGGACTAAAGATTATTTCTCCTTTTATATAATTTTCAAATTAATAATTAAAATTTATAATTGTAAAAATAAAAAATAAGAATTTTCAAATAAAAATAATATAAAAAATTAATTATATAAGAATAAAATATAAAGACTGAATTTTAAAATTTGAAAGAATACAAGACCCCAACATATTTAAACCTTTTTCATTCTTTTAAAAGCCACATGGGTTAACGGTCCAAAGTTATCGTTAGGGGTTGACGTGGTGGTGGCAAATTGGCAAAGGTTTGAAACCTGAAACGGCACTCTACAAAGCAGGGCCCACGTAGCAGCTAAACATCGAACAAGTATCGGCGACTGACGGTTGGATAGGTGGAAGTGGGGTTGGAGTTGTGGGAAATATACGTTTGAACCGACTATTCCAATCTTGACTATGGGAAGAAGTAACTAAAATGACGAGAGCAAAGGTAATGTATTGGGGTTTGCTCATCATTCTCGTCTTTGTTTTTGGGTTGGATTCAGGGTCAGACGAATGTTATATTATATGATTTCTGGGTTTCAATGCTTCTGATAATCGCATTATTTACTGCTTTTTCTCAGCTTTTCAGGAATGGTATTATAGTGTTTAAATCTTTAGGTTTTTCTTTTTAATTACCTCTTTTTGATTGTTAATTTAACAGCTCTGTAGACTCCAAAATTCTGGCCAAGAGAATTGCCACTTGGGCTGGAAAGGGGGAAATAACAAGATGAATTTTGCAGCTCCACTTGACCTTTAGCTACCATGAAAACGAGGGAAAAGAATCTTATAACATGCAGGTATGGTGAAAGACAGAACCCTCCTCTTTTTATGATTTACTGCCTTTTTCTTTTTAAGGTTTCTCAGCTTTCTAGCTTATAATTAGTGTTTAGATACTAAGGTATTTCTAAATTGATTTTGTAGTTTTATTCCATACTTATTCATTGCAGTCAAATTTCAGTAAGTGAATTGTTAATGCCTCAGCTTTTAGGCCTTGTTCATAAGTTTCACTATTGGATATTAGGGTAAAGAACGCAAATGTTCCTCTGACTATAGGCAAATGTTCCTCTGACTATAGGATAGGTATTAATTTATTAAGTCCCTCGACTATTAACAAGTTACAAAATGTTTCTTCGATTACGGAGTGTTGCTTTTTTTAGTACCTCAACTATTAAAAGTTAGAAAATGATCACACGATTATTCATTATGTTCTAATTGGCAGTTATTTAAGTTAGAGATTAACATGATGATTGAGATATGATAGTCATTTGAGATTTTGAGATTAAATTTTATCATATTACAATCAACACATTAACGATCAACTCAAAATATCGTCCATTTTTAACGGAAAATGATGAGTTTGGAACATAATGAATAGTTGGGTGACCATTTTATAACTTTTAATAGTTGAGGGACTCAAAAAGCAACACTCTATAGTTGGGGGACTATTTTAGAACTTTTAATAGTCAAGGGACTTAATAAAGCAGTACCTTATAGTCGGGAGACAATTTGCATTCTTTACCCTAATTAGTGTTTTAATTAACTATAAGTTTGAATTTTGATACAATTCTATTGGTTGAAGATTATTAAATATTTGAGAAATAAAGAATTTTGATGATTAAGTAATAGGTTGTATACATACAGAGTAAGCATTAGGTTTTTGAATTATGAGAGATATAATAATTGGTTGCGATGGATTCAATTAAACACACTTGGAGCATAAAAAACCAAGACTACACATTGTTTTATAATTAGTTTTCTTATCCAGAGTTGAACCGCATTATTAAACTCACGTTGATTAAGTTTTTTGCGATAGTAATTCTTTCTCATTTCTGGACACAGAGAACCAAAGTCAAACCATGTATTTATCTTTCGTTGATTATGTTTTTTGCATATAAATCTTGCAGTCAGTTAACAGGAAAACAAGGGAAATAAAGGGTAAAAGGTTATTAACATGCATGTATGATGGAAAAGAAAAGGTCTTATTTATTTGCATAATTTACTCTCTTTTTTTTAAAACAGAAGGTTTTGAGCTTTCCTTCTAGTAAGATGTTAGGCTGCTTAAATCTCTAGGTACTTCAACAATGACTGATCTTTTTTGACAATTAGGTTTCATTACAATGCCTTAACCTTGTCCATTCTATCAAACAAGCCCCTTAATCCTTGCAATTAAACCTGAATTAAGTAAATAGTTTAATCCTTTGCCCTTTGGTCTTGTTCATAAGTTTCTCTGTTAGATATTAACTCTAATTTTAATTAACATATTAATTTAAATTCTGATAAAATTCTTTGTTCCAGATTAAAACTAAAATGTAGGGAATAAGAATTTCTTGAGGGCTTAGTAATACCCTCTATACACAAAGGGTAGACATTAGTTTTTTTTTTTTTTAACTAAGAGATATGTAAAGGATTCTTAGAGGTTAAGTAAAACACACTAGGGGCATAAAATAATTGGCTCAAGTTTAGCTCTTGGTTATTAATTAAAAAAAAATCTTATAGTTAATTCTATCTCATATGTGGATGCAGACAACCAAATCCAAACCATGTATTAATCTTCCGTTGATTATGTTTTTTGCTTATAAACTTCAAACATTTCCAATAAGCCAAGGGTTAACTCTTTCAAGAAGCTAAGTCTTTTCAAGGACAATGTGATCTTCCTATGAAATTGCAGGAAATAAAAGGAGAATTGAAGAGAGTTTGAAGAAACAGAAGAGAATTTGAAGTAGATTTCAAAGGTTGAAGGGAAAGGTAGAAACTCAATTCATCAAAGTGCATAATCTTCTCTTGTTACAACCGTTCCTACATAAATCTAATACAAGGATTTGACCAATTATTTGATTATAGGTGTCCCAGTTTGTCTTCTAGTGCAACTGAATATAATTCAGCTGGAATTGGTTGTATCATCAAGCTTAATGGGCTGCTCCATGATTATGCCCCACTATGAACTGATCCAGGTTTGTCTTCACTCCTTGATCCGTTTCCTTCTTCATAACCTGGTCCATCTTCTCTTCATTAATCAAAACACTTTAACCAAACGTCGTCCTTTGCTCTTTTAACTAAATAAGTCCTTTTCATCTCCATTTACCACTTTCCAATTCTGATTTTACAATTCCCAAATCACTCCAAATCCCTAATTCCTTCCCTTCTATCCCTAATTCGTCTTCCATCATGACAGACAAGTATAAAATAACTAATTATGTTTTGATTTTCACCACATTTGGCTTAATTTCTGAAACTTGTATTGCCTGGGTTAACACTTTTTAGAAGGTAAGAAATGTGCCTAGTACTAGCCTTTTACTTTAGTTTTTCCAAGGATCAATGGTTCAATGTTTATGGAACACATGCTTCCCCCCCCCCTGCATTTACTGTTGCAAGTGTTGCAGGTGGCTGGCAGTAAAGGAAAAAAACAAAATAAAGTATCATATCTTTAAAAACTTAACACGTTCTATAAAAAAAAATTTAACACATTTAGTACCTAAACTATCAGTTTTATTCTATTTTAATACCTAAATTTTCAATTTTTTTAAAAAATTTATCGGTAAATTTTGAATAAGATACTAAAATAAAATAAAAATTAAAGTTTTTAATGTCAGAGTACTAAAATGAAACAAAAACTAAATTTTTAGTTTGATTTTAAAAAATTAAAAATTTAAATACTAAAACTGATAGTTTATGAAGTTGTATGTAATTCTCCGCATCGAGTTTTGAGAGTAATATCCTTTAGTATATATGGGAAATATGCTGATGGGCTGGAAATTTTTGCCAGGTAGTAACCCATGGGAAGAACATCCAGGTAACTGGTCCACCTCAACCCAAAGCCACCTAATGTGGAAATTGCACTTTTCAAAAGGTCGGCCTTTCAAACTACCAAAGTATTTTTATGTTACACCATGAGGTGAGTTTCTTTTCTCCATTAATATATATAATATTAGTTTTTCTTATAGAAAATTAACATTTTTTTAAACAATTATCATTTTTAAGGGAATGAGATTTTTTTTTATTAATTTGGGATGATTATATATTAATATCTGTTTGAGAAATTCTCAATCATTTGACAATGAACTCTCATGCGCCCTTACATATGTCATTGAGAACTAGATACCTCAAAAGATAACAACCATTTATTTAATTATTGAGGTCGTTTCTGCTAAAGGAATGAAAATTTAGCACGAAAGTTTAAATAATTATTTTACTTAATTCAAAATTCAAATTATTAATAACCCGAACTAAACAACTTCAGTGGTAAGGAAATTGTTGTTGTTCTTTGAGGTTTCGGGTTCTAACACTGTAGATGTCGGGAAGTGTAAGCGTTCAATATCAAAGAGTTAAGAGTTATTTTTAAACAGATACTATCTTATATTTGTTCTAGATTAATATAAAAAAACATCTTATTTCCCTTTTTTTATTTTCAATTTCACACCCACTTTGTTTTGCAGGTATTTTGGTTTTAAAAAATATTTTTCATATATAGTGTAGTTTTTTTCGAATAAAAATCATAATACTAACTTATCTTAAATATATTTTTCTTTTATTTTCTTTGCATCCACCGAATACTTGTTCCATAAATCTAATAAAATATATTTTCGGATTAATAAATTGATATCGCTTAATTTGTGATACTAATCATAATCAACCAATTCACAATAATCAATACTAATATAACAAGTTTAATTCAAGTTTCATTTCAGATATGGTTTTATGAGTTCAAAGAAATGTGGTTCTACCTTTAGTGCACCTCAACCTTAGGACAATGATGTGATACATAATGCCGATGATCCAATGAATCGCGTTCATGAAGATCCCCCTCAAGTCGATAGTGAGGATGAGAGTGTGACTCTTCTTTACTTTCAAACTTTCATGGAGACGATGGACATGTGGTTTGCTATTTTCTGGTAATAATAGTTAGCATCATTGAAATAAGGAGGCTTCGATATGGATTAAGACACAAAATTTCGGAAGTAGTTGGAGTGACCACTGATGATGAGTTAATTAACTTCTTCTTAGGATCTTCTCAAGATGATGTTAAGCCTTCCAATGAGATTAGCTCGAATACTTATTGTTGAGTCAATCAAGAGGATGAAATAGTCAAGAAGGGGTGAATTGGTAAATAAAAACTTTGGTGGAAACTTAAGGGAAAAATGAAAAATTGAACACAAGAATTTTAGAGTGGTTTGACTTTCAAAACCAAAGTCTACATCCATTATCTTAGTTATCCATAATAAGGGTTTTCACAAATTCAATAATTTGTATCAACCTTTGAGGACAAGCTCTAGCCTTACAACTCCCTCAAGAATTATACCCCAAATTCTTGAGACATTATCTCAAAGAGAAAATTACAAATTATAAACTTAGAAAATCTTACTAGGAATGTGTTTGCACAATTCAAGAACAAATAAGAACACTTGAAAAATAAAACAAATGAGTATAAAAGTGTTCTTTGAAAGCAAAAAGAATATTGAAGAATGTTGACTTGATTTTGGATAAATGTGATTATCTTTGGCTTTTTCTATGATCTCTTATCTTCACATATGACTTGGAATCTTGTTTTTATAACCGTCATTCAATTCTAGTCGTTTAGGTTGTTGTGGGAGTTATTATAGTCGTTGAGATGAAATTTCTCAAAATAAGTGAATGCCTAGACGCCTTGAATATCGGTACACTGGCTTGGAGTATCGATGTTGCCTACATTAATTACAAAATTCTAGCCGTTGGTGAGAGGAGAGTATCGTACTCTACTAAGAGTATCGATACCGATATCGATATATAGAGAATATCGGTGCCAAACTAGCCTACTGGAATTGGTGATTGTCAAAAATATAAAGGGAGTATCGGTACTCTTATTGGAGTATCGGCACTGTTATGCGTTTTTACACTTAGTATCGATACCAGTATCGATACTATATGAACAATATCGGTACTGCAAAGTTAAAAATTAATTTTTGACTCGATTAAAATTCGAAACCCTTTGTAAAAAACTTTAAAAATTAATTCCAGTATATGACTTAAATTTTCAAAAGAGTAAGGAGTAAAATGGAGACTTTGACCTTAAAGAGAATTTTCATATTCGAACGATTGAATCGAATATAAACTTGAAAATCAAATAAAAAATAATCTTAAAATTTCTTTAGATATATTTATTTTTGGTATATCAAAATCTCAAAGCATGGTTCAACAATCTCTCCCTTTTTGATATAACAAAACCTTTGAAAAAATTTAAGATTTTAAAGATATTTTTGAAAATAAATACACCCCCTTACTCTAACAAATTTTTATCGTAACAATTTATTATGAGGGGAGATCTTTCACCATCTCTTTCAAGGGAGACATTCGACTTGAAGACGAAAATTTCAAACAATGTTGGATCTACTGAAGATTTAACATTTTCTTTACTACAGTTCAGGTTTTCTACCTCTTTGGTTTCACAACATTCATCAATGGGTTATCTAAACAATGATGTTAGAGTTCGAACAATAATTGACACATACATTACTAATTTGGTGAGTAATGTTGACTTAACATATCTGATAACATAGAAGTTGAACTTCAAAAACTTGAACTATTTATATATAGAAGGAAGAAAGAGAAAGAATGGAGGATTGAAGAACTTAACATCTGACGAGTCAACTGACTATGAAGATTAGGATGTGTGGGTAACTTAATGTTTGTATTGTAATGTAATGTAGGAGTTAATGTTTCTAATTTAATGTGATGTATGAGTTAATACTTTGTATTTAATAAAAATTATCAATATGACCGTCAGAACTCGTCATCTCGACATAACGAGTTCCATGTCATGTCGAGGTGACGAGTTCCAAGAAAAATAATAAAATATTGGACACAGTAATTGGGTCCATTAAAATATATTTTCCATTAGAACTCGTTATGTAGGTGTGACGAGTTCCATGAAGACTGTAGCAAATACGGTAGATCCCAAAATAATCTTCTTTGTTCTGTATTGGGCTAATTATTTAGTCCGCTTACCTATTGGGCCAAAAAAAACCATAGGGGACTACTGAGATACTAAACGGGTTAATTTACACTTTGGTACCCAAATTTAAAATCAGTTTAAATAGGGTTTTCTAACATTTTTTGTTTAAAATTGTAGAAGTTATAAATAATTTTATTTCAAATATATTAATTAATTAAAAAAAAACCATAAGTACTAAATTAAACCCAAAAGTCAAATTCTAGCATTAATTTGAACCAGGAAACCAAGTTCAGGCGTTAAAATGTATATTAATTAGAATTTCAACGAAGTTACCACCTTGGGGCTTGGGGTAACTTGTATAACAAAAATACAAATTTTGATAACGTAGCCATACATTTTCGTCTGATATTACTTTAGTCATATTTATTATGTGACGCACTTATAATATATGATACACATATATTATATGGTGTATGCGTATTGCATATTTAAGATGTAACTTACATAGTGTGCATACGTTCTGTACATTGTATTCATAATTATATACGTATATTATATAGTATTATATATATATATTTTCTTTTTATTTTATTATTTATGTTGTTTATTAATAATGTTGGGTTTTGTTTTATGTCAGGCCTAAAACCCGAAGCCATTACAGACTCCGGTCTTGGAGCAACCTGAACCAGATCCACTAAAGCCCGACCTCAATTGAAATAGTTAGGGTTTGCACACCCTAACTCTCACCCCTTCTCTCCTCAATGCCACATGTCCCTCAGCAGCCAAATGCGCATGGAGCGGTCAAACTAACGGCAACCCCCGAGTTCTTCGACGTCGTGGATTTATGGGACACAAAAACAAACTGTCGAGACGTTTCTCTGCTCGGCGACGGAAAATGCAAATAGTACACCTCAAGGGGTGTAACTAGTCTCGAAAAAGTGAGTGTTTATCCTCCTTGAATCATATGAAACACCAAGTTGTAGAGTCGCCAACAATCTTTTAATTTGGTGAGATATGTCACCAAATTGTTATATTATTCTAATAAAATTTATAAGAATAATATTAAAATAATACAACTCGGGTCTGCTTACCATAAAAATGAGTTCGAGAGTCGGTTACGTATGGGGAATGATTAGTATCCCCACAACGTCTAAAATTGGTATCAATATTTATTAATTAGTGTCTTTGCAATAAATTAACAAATTTTTATTTAATTTTAAATAACTTAGTACTAAATAATATTTACTAATCCTATAATATTATATTATGGCTATATTGTAAAATTATCTTAATATATCAATATTATAATTAATATAATATTAATAAATAATGATTAAAATATATAATAGTAAAATTAATTAATCCTAATTCGAAATAATATTAAAGTTATTTACTAATTATGTAATTTAACATAAATTATTAATATGGAACATAAATATAATTTATTAAAATTTGAGGATTAAATATGTAATTTTACCCAAAGTGTATAAATATATAAATAGGACTATAATAAAATTAAAAGACCAAATTAAAAAACGTAAAATCCTGTTTTCGGGACCAAAAAGAATAGCTTACAAATCTGGAGTGGCCATGGATGTAGTTTGCCCATGATTAAATTACACAAAAGCCCCTCTCCTAAAACGACGCCGTATGGGAGAGGATATAAATGCCCTATATTCGACCCTAAAGATCCAAGTGCTCTCATTCTCATTTTTCTTCTCTCTCTAACCGGGAGAAGGGTGAGATGCTCTGGCATCTCTCTAAAAACCCTCGTCGGAGGGTAACCGATCACTGGCCAGTAACCGTAAACCACCTTCGATAGCATTGTCGGCCACTACCCACGGTGGCCGGAAAACACTAAACCTACCCCAAAATATAGATCCAAGCCTTCTAATCACTATTCCAAAGCCTAAAAATCTTCTAATCGACCGATATTTGAGATTTTACCTCTGGTTTTCTCGACTTTTCGACGACACTCAGACTTCGACGATGGTAAGCTTTTTCACTCTCTTCTCTTCGTTTTTCGTTATTCTTGCTAACGTGCTCTTTGTTTCTCTCTTGCTTGTCTCTTGGTCTCTCATTGTTTGCTTCTTTTTTTTTTGTTGTTTGCAAGAACGAGGTTATTTATAGCCCTCAGAGATCCTCTGTAATGATGAGGAAAATCGGTGAGACCGGACCTATGGTAGTGACTCACCCTAGGCAGTGAGCTGTGCGGTTCTCATTGATCTTCTGGAGCCTTCGGAAGAGCTCTGGAGAGGCGACAACGTCGTGGAAGCATCTGGTTGGAGCAGTAGAGGCGGTGGCCGGAATAGGCCCTAGGGTGGTAATGATACCCTAGGGTTCCTTGTAACACCCCAACCCATATCCGACCCGGATACGAGTCTGAGGTGTCACATTGACTTTTTAAATCATTTACTTTGACAAAAATAAAATAATTAAATAGAAATCGAGTTCGACATTTTCAATAAACCAAATAATTGCTATTATGTAAAATATATTGATTTACAAAACTTATCAGAGTGTATCCGACACCAATCTTTTATCTTACATGCAAACTACATTTCATAAAATGCATATAATTCAAGATTTTTCTGATCTGAACTTCAGGAAGGAGATGCTGACCTGATGAGCTCATCTTCGATCCCTTTTTCCTCTTCTCGAAAGCTACATGTGAAACATTTACACGCTAAGTCGAAGACTTAGTGAGGCATTAAATTATGAAAGAACTCTAACTATTTACACATGCATGAACATATCATCTTATAATGCCACATCAAAACCATATAACATTATATATATCATATACATATCACACATTATTTTAAATATCTAACCTTAGTCCACTATCAATATTCTTATCATTTATATCTTATAATTATACCCTCTTATATATATTCTTTTACTCAACATATTATTCAATTAACCAAGCAATACAAATATCATCATATAAATCATATCATATTATCTAATAAGAAATACATGTATTCATATAAATAATCATTAGTCACTTATCATTTAATCACATAGCACATATACTTAACCTTCTTAATCTTATACTATACCTATACCTCATCATGTCTTTGCTATAAATTTTATCATATCACAACATATATTTGTTATTATCTTTTGATTAGCCCATGTACATATGTGAGAACTATTGATATGTGAGTCTCTAGAGGTTGTGCACTAATGCTGTCATCACAGCTCGTATAAATGCACCGAAGTGCCACGTAGAATTACACCGAAGTGCCGCGTAGAATTGCATCGAAGTGCCATATAAAATGTCCCTAAGGACCACGTAGAAAATTCCTTAAGAATCATATACATATGCAAAGGATCAAGTATGTGTCTCAAAAGACATCACACATGTTCCAAGGAATACATATATGTCCCGAAGGACCGCTTAGACCCTCGACTCTTGGCATGCCAACTATACCTCTAGCTCTCTGGACACATAACATGGGCATTAATATTTATGTTATCACGCATTCACATATTTACCTAGTCACATAGTTCTTTCACATAGCTCATTGTCATATAAATCACATATCACATATACATATAAACACATGGTTCACTTACGCGTAGAACATTTTCATATGATTCACATATCACAAAAGCTTATCACATAATAATTGTATTCTTTTTCATATAATCACATAGTTATATAATATTTCATATGACATATACTTTCTCTTTCATATATCTCATGTCACGTATCATATCTTATGATCATGTAATCATGTTACTCAATCACATAACTTCTACTCATAAGGTTCAACATCATTAAACTTAGTTCACTTTCTATATTATCATACATTTATATGTCCTATCATTAACCTATAAACTTACTCATATACTCATATAACTATTATCCTTTATCCGACACATAGATCACATTTTATAACGTACACTATGTACATATAATAACTTATCTCATATCATATAACTTATGATTTATACTTTTATATTCACATAAATTCTGTAACATATTATAACCTATAAACATATATCACTTATGCATGTATTCATGTACACATTTTCATATAGTATATATATATATATATCTAACTCCATGTTTTACATAATTACTTATCTCCCATCATTTATTTACTAATTTCATATATTTACCTAGTTCAGTTTCACATAGCTTATCACATATACAAGTCTTCTAATAAATTATCATCAAAAGCTCCTATAATATCTCTCTATGGCTAGATAGATTTTTACTATATATCTTATTCATTATAAATTCATTTAAGCCTATAAATCTTTCCCATATAATTTATCTTACATGTTTATATAGTCACTTCCTCTTGTTATCACATAAGTCATTGGTATTTTACATAATTCGTGATCCTATAATTTATATCTCAGGTTCATATAACTTATATAACATTTTCCTATATTACATAAATCATTGCCATATAACACATATCATATAAATTCATACCACATAACATGTAATACGAACTAAGCATATTCACGTAATATCAAACATAATCATACAATCATATATTCAACATATTGGAAACAGACTTGTCACAAGTCCAATTTCCATATACAATACATACATTTTAATAATACACATTCACCTGGCCTCACTAGTCAATATCGATCTGCTATCTTTTCCTTGATCGATCTTACTTGCTAAGTTCCGGAACTTGTTTAGGCTCTGTATCTACATAGTAATATATTGATACTTATCAGTAAATTAATTAATATATTATAAACTATCATTTCTTGGGCTAAAAGAAAAGCTATTTTCATCTCTTAATAAACGTATGCATCGATGCACTACACCGTGTATCGATGCATCCCTTGACGGGTGCATCGATGCACTATCTATGTATCGGTACATAAATCCCATTCGATGTTTGTATTTTAAGGGGGGTGCATCGATGCACTACTTGTGCATCGATACACTGATGGCATTCGATGTTTCTTTTTTAAAGAGTGCATCGGTACACATTGAATGTGCATCGATACACTTTGCCCAGAATTTGTATTTTACGCTCGAAAATCATCAACTCTTCATTCACTTCTTTTATTTTAAGCCCCTATCATGTCATTAAACTCAACTACCATTACTTAAACCAACTTGTATTCATATAAACCATCTCTATCTTCCATATCTCATCATGATTCTTAATTTTAAGAATCGTACTAAACTTTCAACTTTGTTATTAATCCTTTCTAACTTCATAAATCTCTTATTCTTAGTGATGACAAGTCAAATTCCTTCTCAAATTTCACTTATTAACTCTTTTCCAGAAATTCATCTAAAAACTCATTTTCTTTAATCTCTTCTATATCTTTCATCTTGTTGTTTTAGAACAAATTAAGCTTTCCTTAAGCTTAATTATCATCTAATGATCATAACCCAACCTTAATATCAACAATTAATCAATAAGCAAAGAAACTCACCTTTGAGCTTGGAGATACGAGAGGAGGAAGAAGAAAAAAAGAAAACTCTGGAGAATTCTCTCATTTCCCACGTAGTTCTCTTATCTTATAAAAGGAATATAAAAATCTTACTTTTCAATTAACTATTTTACCCTTTAATTCATTCAATAATTACCAAGCAACCTTCAACTATATTTCCAATAAGTCATTAAACTATTTAACTATTCTACTTTTATCACCAAATTTCAAAAATTCTTATTTTAATCACTGACCCAGATTTCAGGATGTTACATTCCTGCTGGTTCGTTTCTGGCCCTTGGATCTGCCTTTGATCGAACGATTCATGAAGAGTGGCGGCTGGAACAACTAGTGGAAACCCTGGCTGCTGATGGGTTTCTCGCAGGCCTATTGAAGTTGGGCCTGAACTGGTTATCGGGCCTGGATCAATTGTAAACTAGATCTGGACCTAGCCCGAGTTAGGTTGTAACCGGGCTTAC